AATGAAGATGATGATGGTCCTGGAGAGACGAAACGTTACATATAAAAATTGATTATGCCATTCGATAGAGGGCAAAAAGTTGCCATGTGAAATCGTTCTTCTTTTTTTTCAATATCGTCTCAAACAAGGCTGAAATGAAACAAAAACGGATTTCCAAAATTTTGTTTGTTTTCAAATATTTCGAAAACTAATCATGTTAGCCTCGATTCTTTAAAGGATAATGTTGGTCCCCTGATTATGCAACTTTACCCCAATTTAAGCTAGTTCGTATCTCTTACCGTTTCCGAAAGCCCTGTAGTGAGAAGCGAATTTGTAACAGCCTGTAATCCTGTAATATACATAACTCTAAAAATGTATTTCAAAGTAAATTATACTCAGTTACATTTTTGACATCAGTTAATTAATCCATGTTATTAAATGTCAGTTGCAAATTCCACGTGTCCCATTTTAATAGGTACGCTTGAATATGTCATCCCTGCGATCCAAAAAAGGCCTAAATAATAGTTGTTCAGATCATTGGGGGAAAGCGGTTGCTGACCTTGAAATCGACCTTAACCGTGACCTTGAACGTCAATTGAAGATCAACTTCATATTTTTAAATGAGACTCTTTTTTGCTCTGGAAATGGATTCGACAGAAAATTTTACATGCGAATGTGATCTCAACTTTGACCTTGCAGTCAAGGTCACAGCGAGTTCAAATAATTCGTAACCCCTGCAGCAACCTCGGAATAAGATATTTGCCCACAAAGTCGATGGGATTTTCATCAAGGTACTCAATCATGACCTTGGACTTGTCCTTAGCCTTGGCCTTCTAGGTCATTTGAAGGTCTCTACAAATATTTTTAAGGATGTTCGGGACCAATGATCGGTGATCTTGGATTTAATCTTGAAAGTCATTTAAAGGTTGAATTAAAAGTTAATCAAATCAATTAATACTATTGAAATGATCTCAGGGTAAATAATAGCTTGAGATTTTTAATGTTTTTTTCAGTTTTTCACTGTCGGCATAAGCGTGACTCGATGTACTACGCGAGGAGGTTGCATGATCGGAATTTATACATCATATAGGTCTGAAAATGACATTCAAGGTTAAATACAAGATCACCGATCTACGATCCCGAACATCCTAACATTTGTCATCAAGGTCAATTTTTGTAGTCGACCTTCAAATAACCTTGCAGATAGAGGTCAAGATCAAATCAGTCATGATTAAGTAATTCGATAGAAATCCCTTCCACTCTGGGGGCAAACATCATATTCCGAGGTTACATCAGTTGTGATACATGATTTCAAATCCCTGTGACCTTGACCGTAAGGTCAAAGATGAAATCACATTCGAATGTAAAATTTTCTGCCGAATCCATTCCAAAGGTAAAAGTAGAGGGTCCCATTTAAAATGATGAAGGTGACCGTTGAGTGACCTTCAAGGTCACGGTTAAGGTCAAATACAAGGTGAGCAATCGCTTTCCCCCAATAAACTGAACAACTTTCATTTGGTAATTTTTGGATCGGAGGCTTCACAGACGAGATATTCACGTGTACCGATTAATATGCGACACGTGGTACAGAATGTTTCAAGATTAATTTCTAAATTTCAGTTTGGGTGACAAAAATTACATTCTCTGAAATTTCTAATGAAATGTCCTAATAAAGTTCAAAATTCATTGAATTCGAATGCAAGTTCGTTAACTAATGGCGGAAACACCGGTTAAGAGTTCAAGGTCATTGGGTATTTTGGAAATTTGTTCACTGTTTTATTTCCTAGTACTATTTCTTATTTTCATTTTATTCAAAAAAAGCGGACCATTTTTAATGCGTACTACTTTTTTACTTACATTACGATGTATTAATGTGAAGTCCGAAAAAATCTTTAGTGCAGAAATTTTGCATATTGTTAGAGCACAATTTCCAGTGGAATGCATAGTTCTAAAGTTATTTAAGGTTTACAAAGAGCTTCGAAACAGTACGGTAAGTTAAAAAAAAATTACTAAAGACGCTCCGTTTTAGAAATATCCAAAAAACTCAGAGGCGTTCATTTTCTGAGGTCTTAGTGATAATAATTCCCGGTATCTCCACCACTGGAAATAGCGAGTTTTTACCTATAAGTTTTGTTGTCGTATATAAAACGTTTCTAGAAAAATATTTTTTTAAATATCACTGCATTATAAAACAAAACGTTCCTTTGTAGACCTTTTTCTCATTTTGACATTCCGAATTAAAATTTCAAGTTTATCAATTAATTTTAAACAGTCTGTACAGAATAGTTTTCAGATAAAAAGTGAATTTTAAATTGTTCATTTTAAAATTTTGCAAGATAGATTGTAAATATATTAAACTAATAAAACTGAACAGAAAATGTAACAGCATATTTTTAAGTATCTGGAAAAGAAAAAATTGAGATATTTATTTATCTATGTTAGAGGTATATAAAGTTTCTCTAATATTCTTAATTGCTTATTAAAAGTGAGACACCTCGTATTTATTATTAATTTCATATTTATAAAATTTTTAAACATATACCTATAATTTCTATTTTAAAAATGAGTCAGGATTTTTTAAATAATTGCAAAAGGTTCCTAATATATAAATTACATTATTCTAGTTCATATTATAGGTAAAGTATTGAAAATTAGTAAAATATTGCAAAAATTGTAACACATTGTACTTTTAGGGTATAAAGAACAGAATTCTGATTCAACTGTTCTCATGTGTGACCACATAACTTATAAATGTTTTATTGGCTTAGAGAGAGGCTAATTTTTTCAGTATCATTTATGTTATATTTCATTCAAATGCCAATAGCATCAGAATATACGATATCAAAAAACATACATTCTCTTTTGATCTGTATTTATGTAGATTATTTTGCAGTCATATTTATTTACTAATATTATATGATAGATTATTGTTTACAGAATCAAAATCCAACACTACAATTGCGCTCAGTTTTTATTTAAATAAGATATAGGATTGTTGAAAGATATTTGTAAGCACGTAACTACAGAGCCTTAAATGTTTACAAGCTACGTGACCACCGAGCTTAGGCAACCAACATTACAGGGTAACAAAAATTCCCTAAATCTTGGCATGACAATATTAATGATTCGTTTACAATAAACAATGTCAAACCGTTACGTCTACGCTCGAGATGATACGGTCGCTGATTGATTGAATAGAATCTCGTGAAAAATCACACCAATCACAGCCGGTGAAACAGAATGTTGTGTTTTAATATAATCTTGATCTTACTATTTTAATAATTTTTAATTAACGTGAAGAATAAAATTACTGTTCCAAGCAAAATTACTGGTTACATAGTTTGTGATCATTTATCAAGCTCTGTATTTAAAATGATGTACGGTATAGCAATTTTTAAATTCTACACAACATTTTGATTTCAGTTATGTGATTTACAGACTTAAAATTTTATATTTTAAAAAATATACACTACGTTCACGGTTATAATGGACAAGAGGGAAAACGTTTCTATTTTTAGATTTAGGGAAATAATAGCTTGTTTTTCAAATAATATTACCATAGGGTATTTTACGTTTATATATATATATATAGAAAATATTCAAGACAAAAAAAAATAATATAGTAAACTGCTCCATTTTTATCGATATGAAAAAATGACATTAAGGAAAGATGTTTAGAATTTAAATTTGTCAGAATTTCATTTTGTAGATAAGTTGGCCTTTTATGATTGGATAAAATGAAATGAACGAATGGTGAAAACAGCGTGTTTAATTCTTTCAAGATTATATTGTATGAAAATATTTTATTTTTGTTGATTTTTTATGATCTCCAAAGATATTTCTTAAACAAATTTTTTTATTGCATAAAGCTCCTACTTATCCATCCATTCAATCGATATTTTCTTTAAAAAATGTTTGAATTTATGATTTATTGAATGAATTTGAAACTTGATTTTTTATAATAATTTAAAATTCTGTTACGTTTCACAGCTGAATGACAAATTAGAGATAATTGTTGCTGCAACATAAGGTTACCTAACTTTTTATTTTAAAGCCTATTTTACTTTTATCAATTTTTCATGCAATAAATTATACAAAAATTTGTCACAATTCGCTATATTTGTAGTACCATTTTAGATGTGACAATAGATTTTAATTTTCAGATTAAAAATCAATCAAAATGAAATAATAGTACGTTAGGGTAGCTTATAAACTCAATAGTATTACTATAAATTTATTATTATAAATTATTAATAGAATAAAAACTTAATTAAGGTTTAATTTAAGTCAAGAAAACTTTGATGCATTGTCAGTATTATAGAAAAAATGATGCACTGAAGAAACTTATTTGTGACACTATCATGCGACAGATTGCCAATATTATGTCACGAAAAAGAATGTTATAATTTTTATTGTTAAAAGAATGGCCAAATTATATCAAAAAGGCATAGGCGGATACAGGAGCCAAGGGGGCCCGTAAATCTTTTGCGCCTAGTGCCCGAAATTAGCTTAAACCGGCACTGTCTGGTACCATTTTCAATTTATTTTTCTTTCCGCAGCCCTCTGTTTATGCAAATTTTCTATGATATAATTTTAAAAACAAGTACTTTATCTAAGAATAAGTTTATAAAATAATATATATATATATTTCCCTTTTGTCCCCTCTACCACAAATATATTTCTGTAAAATTATTTTGATAAAACTGAAATCTAAATTTTTCCTTAAATCAAAAACATATATGCACCTACAATTCAGTGTTAAGAAAATGTAATTTATGAATGCAATAACAATCTGATATCTTTGCGGTACTAAAAGTAAATAATAATCTATCGCTTGTGTCTTATTTGAACTAATTTTGGATTTCGTAAATTGTTGAATTTGTTTGTATGTAAACATGATACTTTTCTATAAATCAATTCAATTTGATAATTGAAATTACAATTATCTAATATTTTACAGAAAATTCAGCAATTTACCTGTTATATAGTTATCATCTTTTTTACAATGCAATTTTATTTAGTCGACGACTTTGATTATGATGACGAAGGAGGTGAAAACACATCACTGAAAGGTCCAGGATTAGATGAAATCAAGACAGGGCAGTGGCTAGGGGTAACTGTAAAGTCTCAAAAACCAGGTGGTATTGTTATAGTCTGTGCTCATAGGTATATACAAAGCCCAGACTTATCAAAATTCCATTATGGCCAAGGCCTTTGCTATTTATTAAATTCAGACCTGAATACCTATGAAAGTTTACAATTATGCAAGGGAAAACCAGTTGAAAAGTAAGTTTTTCAGGTTCGCGCAATTTAGATTGATGTTTTAAATATATATATACCATTGCAGATTACATCAACAGTTTGGTTTTTGTCAAGTTGGCACAAGTGCTTCGTTTGTTGGTGATGAATTTGCCTTGATGGGTGCTCCAGGTCCGTTCACATGGAGAGGAACTGTTTTTGGCCAAGTTGTCGTTGGTGATTTTTTAACAAAAGACAAAACAACTTATCACGGACCTTTAAGTGACACCGAAATTATTGAAAAATATAGCTATTTAGGTATAATTAACTTGTACCGGTGACTTAAATTTTCTTATAAAACTATTTTTTTATAGGCATGAGTGTGGGAGGTGGTCACTTCTCTAATAGAAGTGCATATACTTATATTTCTGGAGCTCCAAGATCCAAAATGAAAGGCCAAGTTTACTTCTTTGAAAAATATAATAATGAAGAATTAAATATATCGTTAATAATTACTGGTGAACAATTTGCTTCTAGCTTTGGGTACGAAATGCTCGCTGCTGATGTAAATAATGATGGGTAAGTTATCTTTAGTCATAAATTTATTTTTCTTTTACTAAACTTAGTATTCTAATTTGAATGGATTTATTTCAGATATGATGATTTACTAGTAGGTGCCCCATTTTATTATGGTGAAAAGAAAGGAGGAGCTGTTTACATTTATTATAACATTAGAGATTGCACTTGGGACAACTGCACTTGGGATAAAGTTTTCTATGGGAAGACTCAATCAAGATATGGTTTTTCTATGACATCAGTTGGTGATATTAATAAGGATGGATATAACGATGTAGCAATTGGTGCTCCTTATGAAGAAGATCATGGTGCTGTTTATATATATTTAGGTTCACCAAATGGATTAAATCCAGAACCCTCACAGGTAATTTCAGTCATATTTGTTAATTTCTTTATTTAAAACAATTATTATGGAAAATTCTTTCCAGTAAAAATCTAGATATCAACCGAATTGATTTGTTTAAATTTCACTTTTACTAATTTTTTAGCCAATTCAAGAAATTGTCATAGTTTGCTGTATTTGTGGCATCTTTTTATTCTTTATAATAATTGTCAACAAAAAATGATACTGTAATTTATTTAAGACGTAATTTTATCACAATTTTATGGTCACTAACTTTGGCTATATATTTAGAATTTAACCAGAATATAGTGATAGTAGGTACTAATGAGAGAAAATCACAAAAAGATCTATAAAAATATGACAATAAATTATAACTAACCAGTTATTTGCTTCCAATTCTTTGACCAATTTATTAAGCTAGGAAGTTTGCCTCAATGTACGTGTATCAATATAAGTCGGCCAGTTTGTTCATCAACTTATTAGATCAAAAGTGGATAAATGTAAAACAAATTTATAGGCCAGGCGGTATCTGTTTTAAAAAGGGTATACTTGGGTAAAACGCATATGATCGGAGATTTTTGCTTTAACGGCTTCTAAATAACATCAGAAATGATAATTTTTCTATGCAAATAAAAAATTGCAAAAAAAGTATAAAAAATATCAAAAAAATTCATTTTTTTTTTGGATTTCTCGTCGACAACATAGCAACTATTCATTTTAGACAAAAATGGAAGAGGAAAAAGTTTTGTAATTAAATTTTGATCAAGATTGAGTTAGTTGCAATTCGAAAAAATTAAAAAACAGTCCTTATACCCTTGTAGTTTTGCTGTAAATAAGGGTTAACTTTAATGGGCTATAACTCCAAAAATAATGGGCAGATAATCAGGTTTTTTTAAATACTCCTCTTTCCAAGTACTTCCAAACCATATTTTAAAATAAAAAAAATTTTTGAAAAAAAACAGTAAATTATTGCAATTGTTTATAAGCGTGAAAATTGCGAAAATGTTTTTCCTCTTCCATTTTTGTCTAAAAGAATAGTTGCTAAGTTGTCAATGAGAAATCCAAAAAAAATGAATTTTTTTGCTATTTTTTTATACTTTTTTGCAATAACAATTAAGACCGCGTTTTTTTTTATTTGCATAGAAAAATTATCATTTCTGATGTTATTTAGAAGCCGTTAAAGCAAAAATCTCCGATCATATGCGTTTTACCAAACCCGAAACAGATATCGCCTGGACTATTAAGGCAACTGCAACAATAAACATGTATGTGTTATTTATGTTTTATTATATTTACTGCTACTACCAATGAATAAAATTTTCCAAATTGTTCAATAAATTTGAACCAATCTGTTAAAACTAGGAAGTTTACCACAAGTTATTTATTACACCTACCAATATAACTCGGCAAATTTGTTGATTCTTCTTGATATTTCTAATGAATAAAAATCTCCAAATTACATTTATGAATATATCTTACATGTATCAATATTTCATGAACATAGTTCTGATACTAAAAATTGTTACATATAATTCAGTTATAACTTACAACACAGTTTAGTAACAATATAAAAAAATTATTGAGCTAACATTACAGAAGCATGTTTATGATATAATTAAAACTTATATAAGTAAGTCTCGTACAAATTATGTGCATAAATAACGAGTAAGTGACAAACATAATCAACCTATAAATTTATTTGAAATTTGGAGGAACCAGGTCTAATTACAGAGTGCTTCCAATTTTACTTGGGAAAAGGATGAAACATGAAAAAATAATAGGAACCTTTTCTATAATGTGTTTCTCTAAAATACTATGCTTTCAAGACACAGAACATTCATCTTAAAAATATGTATATTTCCTTCCTTACTAAACTAATAACTATTTTTCGTTTATATTTGGTACACAACAATCATAATAAAAGACTAGTATTTTGATGTGAAAAATATCTTTCAGCTAGAAGCAGTGGCGTAATTATAGGATTCCTATTTGAATTTCCTAAACTTCTACCCCAATAGCAAACGTTAATTTTTCAGTAGGGATATTAAAATGCCGATCTATTTTCTCAAAAAAGATGTTTCGGTAAATTTATTAAGGACCCACATTTTCAGTTGTTTTGACTTTTTAAAATGGAATTATGTACATATGTTTTATTCAAACTTTGTACACAACTAAAAGTACCTACTGACATAATCATGGGGTTTTGGTTTAATTCAACAAATCATCAAAATAAAATATATTTCTTTAAGTTGAACGCCCTTTAAATGTTACTGGAAGGACCCCTATTAATTTTTATTCTGTATCTTTTCCAGAGTTATGTATAACAAAACAAGTACACTGTACAGTAATTCGCTAAATAATAAGTACCTATTATTTTCCTACAGGTGATACGAATTAAGCAGTTAAAAACTTTGGGATATTCACTAAGTGGCGGAATAGACATGGACAACAATGGATATCCAGATTTATTGGTTGGAGCATATGAATCTGAAAAGGCACTACTTTTCAAAACAAGACCTATTATAGATATAAAAATTAAAATAAAAAGCGATGAGCTAAAGAATATAAATTCTACAAGAAAGGGATGCTTGGCTGACCCAACAAATCATAATTATACTTGGTGAGTAAACAAGGTGAATTATTGAGTCGCCCTATATGTTTCTATACTAGAATTATGTAACCCCCACAACTCAGTATCAGATAAATAATAATTAAAACAAAATTCTGCAGAAGAACATTTTTTTCTGAATTCAGTACCATCTGCTTAAGGAAAATTTCACTTAAGGTTTTTAGTGATATCATCAAAAAGTTCTGTCAGCTGTTTTAAAACAGAATAATCTTTTGGTAATAAGTGGACATAAACTTTTAATAATTTAACTTGTATGTAGGTACTTTCATGTAAAATAGTTGTGTAGTTAATATTTACTATTAAATAATTCGTTAAACCAAAAAATTACAAAATGTAAATCATTAATTCAGAAATTCAGGATATACATACTTTAAATCCTAGAGGTAATAGAATATTCAAACATAATATTATTTTATCCTATTTTTAAATAATACCTTTGATAACACTGCAACTTTAGACTATATTATGGTACAACTTTTTGGTGTTAGGATTTCAGTTTCATTAAACAAAAAATGTATTTTTTTGCCAGAATCTCCTAAACCGAGTGGATCTCCCAGGTATTAAAATAATTAAAAAAATTAGTTTATATTATTCAATTAATGCTGAAAGTATCTAAAATAAAAATCTGGTAATTTATTAAAAAAAAATGAAAACCTCGTCTTTTCTACTGGCTCTAATTTAAGTTCTGTAAAAGCATTATCTTGAGTTTTCCATATATTTATTTGTACGTAAACTTTTTTTTTCATGAAGTTTTTGCAATTATTTTAATAGATGACATTCTTTTATAGTCTGCAAAAATTAAATACAGGTGTACTTGAACGAAAATCAAAACAAAAGGAAATACTGACTCCTACCTTCAACTTTTGTGCTTTATTAAAAAGTAATTAAACCAGTCTTTCACGACACAAGCCTACTGAATTTGAGTAGGGGGATATGGTGATTACTTTTGGAGATATTGCCTAAATTAATTTTAAAACATTGTATCTTGAAAACAAAAGACATATATCATAATCATAATACAGAGTGATTCAGAACTTATCCAAGAAAACATTTTTGAATGTATTGACCTTTACAAATACAATTTTGTAAAAAAAAAATCAAAAAGTGAAAATGATTTCTGTACGACACTGAAAACTAGTCCACTGTAAAACCTTACCTTACGCAAGGCAATGCATGCAGTCGATGACTGGCACAGCGGCAAAGTTTAATAAAAAAAAATGAACGTACAAAAAATTTAAAGAATTTCTTTCCCAAAGAAAGAAAAAAATATATTTTGTAACACCTATTTTATATCAGCAAATTCAACTGCTTTTGTGCTATTGTTATTAATTAATAAAATTAATTTGTGGTTTTAATTAATAAAATAATTTGAAATACCTGATGTTGCAAGAACTGTTCAAAATATTGTCCACCGACGTGACATTTGTGCCCATCTTATGCAGTTTCTACAAACTAACACAAATGTTGTCTTGCTTCACTATAAATTAAAACAATATCCATCAACTCTGAGTTGCTATATACGTAAGCTACTTTTGACACTTGAAAAACTAATGTAAACATTATCGCGATAACGTTAATACTAAAATTAGATTTCAGTATTCGAAATCGCCTGGGACCACGTGGAGAGAGAGCGCATTGCGTACAGCGCATAACGTGAATGACGCTGCAAACTACAGTAGCCCAGCGATGTAAGAGTTGAAAATACATAATACAACTTCAATAATTTTTTTCTCGAAAACTATATAAGGATTTTACAAAAATTTTTTTATGATATTAACTTCATTTTTCATGACGCATCTATTCCCAAATTTATTTGGATAAGTTGTGAATAACCCTGTATATCATAATCATAAAGAGAAATATTCTTATTTTTAATAGTAAAATTAATTATGAGTTTTATTTCGTAAGTTTTTTTTTATATTGTTTGATTTAAGCGATTAATACATGTTGACGAAATATTTGAATATTTTACTATCTCATTTATTTATTAAATCTGTGTCTGTCACTTTCTTGTTGTTTTATGAAATAAGTGGAGGTTAAACTGGCAAATAAGAAACTTTACTAGAAGAAAGGTGGAAAAATTACTGTTTAAAATTTATTTATATAAATGCAGCGTGGATGTAATCTGATGGTTAAAGACAGTCCCTGACGCACTGTGGACGAAGCTTGTGGTAACCTTGTTTTTTGTTTTAGTTTTTCGTTCCAGTCATGTTTCTCAATTATAGGGAAGTTAAAAAAAGCAGATAATTTTAATGTAAATTATCATATCATGGAAGTAAAGAAACACGTTTCGAGAATATGGTTCAAGGATGAACTTCATGTTGATAAACGTTCGTCAATGCAAACAAAAACTGTGACAGTTAGTGGTAGTTCAAAACAATATTGTCAGGATGAAACTGCATACATAAAGGAAGGTATTACTGACATACTTTCTCCCATTAAAGTAAGTAGTTGATGTTTTTTATATTGCCTAAAATAATGACTTCATTCTTTCAGCTCCGTGTCAATTATACTTTAGAGGAGAACAGGTATCATTCACCTATTCTAAACAAAACATCGGTAAAAACATTCGAGGCAACATTCCAAAAAGAATGCGGAGACGATGATATCTGTGAAAGCAATCTTGTTTTAGATGTAACAACTAATTTACAAAGTAAGTTTAGACTTTACTTTTTATGAAAATTGTATTCTTTATTATTCAAAAGGCTGAAAATTATATAACAAGAATTGGCAGGTATTTTTAAAGGGTCTACCACGTCGCTGACAATAGTAGTAATGAAATTAAAATTACAATTTATATATTTGCTCTGTCATATTTACAAAAAAGAAATTAGTTGCAAGTTCTTGCATATATTTAAGCGTAAGTGAAGTAGTTGAGAATAGTACTTATACAGACATTCCTTTAATCGAGCATCACATCGAAAACCTGATAATGTTTAATTCTATAACATTTTCTTTGATTTTAAAAAACAAAAGATTGATGTTTGCTTAAAAATATATACAAACAGACATTAACTATTGTTTTGTTTTTTCTTATTGCTTTTTTCTTCAAATAAAACTATGTATTTTTTTACATGGGTACTCTGATAGAAATTTTATTTCCAATAAATCTAGAGTGAATAATATAATAAGTGTATAATAAATTGATTTTTGTGTGGTATATGTATAGAAAGATAGAAAGGATAAACCAACATGGAAATTGTTCAGTTTTAATATAGTATTACAAAAGGATGCATACGACGTTCATTTCCTTAATTAGGTTTTTAATTGTTTATTAATTTACTAATATTTGTAATATATTTATTTACATGTTTTCTAGAATGTTCTAGATTATTTCGATTGGGTTCAAGATGCACTATCAAATGTCGAGAAAATTTGTGAATAGGAAAAAGGTATATAAAGTATGCGACGACTATACTATATAGTCCGAGTGAGATATAACCTACAGCGTATGACATATCTTAAATACCATTGTTAGTCCATACCCACTGGCACAAAATATAGCTTTTTACCTACTGGCATGAAAGCATGATTATTGTTGCATTAAAAATAAACTTTTTAACTAATGATATTCTCTAATGCTTCATCCAGCATTAAACTATACCCTTAATATCTAGTAAACAATTAAGATCATTTGTCACGATAACCACTAGATGTAGATCGATTTCGAACTCATTAGTTCTCATCAGTATGTCATAAGTGACACGACCGATGAAAGATTTAACTATTTGTGATAATTGTTTGCGCAGTATAGAAAACAGTAGTAGACAAGTGAAGACCGTTACACACTACAATAATGTTATAGTGGCGACACCCTCATTTGAAAAATATTTGGAAGTCTTAAATACAGTCTTTGAGAGGCTAATAAATAATAAAGACGGCAAATTTAACCAACGGTAGCTATAAATATTGGTATATTACTTAATGTATAACACATGCCGAGATGTATATTTTGACATTGTCTTTAGGTATCACATATGCAGCAGGTAAAGGGGTAATGTATAAGTTTCCTTAAGGAGGTTCAATAGATCCTCTACGAGGCAGGTGGTACGGGAGGGAAGCCTATGCTTGTACACAGGAGTTTCGTTGCAGTACCAACCTTACATAAACTAATTTGAGCGAACTAAATATAATATATGCAAATGAAATTTGTACAACACATTAGCTCGCATATATTTTTCATGTTTAATGCATGGCAATTAACTTTTTATTTAAATAAAAGTGTCTATTTATTCATTAAGAACCTGTAAAACTATGGGTGAAATGTGGCAACATTGCACATCAGTATATGGTGTGATTGTAAAAATTGGGTCAACTGTCAACTGTGCTTAGCTCTAATAGGAAAAGTAATCAACGTAAAGCAATATAAAAGGCATATGAAACACATAGAATGTAGATTGATGAGAAAAAGCAAAATGTGCAAACTGAGAATCCATGTGATAACTATCAAGAAACTCAATGTATGATAGTGAGATGTTGCCTTGTCAAATTGAAGGTTATGATAGAACATTTATTTTTGCAAAGAGATCCTTCAATTTTTGTTTCAAATTACTATTATATTACATAGATCACGAAAAATTTATTTAATATTAATTATTACTACATATTTTTCCGACTGGAATAATTTTATAGTCTGTAATCGAGCTAGTCAAATATAGCGCGTCAGTCAAAGCGTACAGTGTTGGCATATTTCCTTTCATAGGTTCAGATGTTTGTTCAAATTTGTCAAAACGTTATCTATTCATTCCATTATCTCAATAATTACATTGTAAGTGCATATTTTTATTGATTTACAATGTTTAGCAATATTTAATTCTTTAATTACAATTTTATTTTCCCTTTCCTAACCATTTTTAAGAGCAATATTCACGTTTGATTAAAGTTTTTTCCCAACTCCCATAAGAGCATGTGTATAAGGACAATTTTTATAATTTTTCAAAAAAACAACGTTGGCAATCGATCTAATATTTTTACAATTTGCATATTTATTAAGAGATTTCAATTGCTTTGAAAACTTTGTTACAATTTTCTTTTCGGTATTGAACCTTCTTAAATGTGGAAGTTATTATAGAAATGAGGTAGAGGTACTAGTAAAAATTAAGTTTTCATTTTATTACTCAAAAAGCGCCTTTCAGATTTTAATGAGCTTTGTTGTAGCAAAAATACATACTCTAAAGCAAGGGTCGGCAACTGGCGGACCGCGGTCCAGGTCCGGACCGCGGAAGGTAAAATGCTGGACCTCCAAAAATTTTTTGAAAGTATAAATTACTCAAATAATTTATTTAAAAAATGTTTTTTACGTTTAAGTGCCAATCTTATCATTTTTTCTAGTATTTTACAATTGTGTGTGTTTTCAGTTCTTAATTAGTAAGCAGATTAAATTTGAGTCCAAATTAAAATAAAAAAATAAGAAATATGAATTTTTTTCTGGACCTCTTTAAAAATTTTCAAAAGTATCCGGACCCCACCTAAAATTACTTGCCGACCCCTGCTCTAAAGGATATCTAAAATTGTTTTGGTTGATGGAAGTATATTAGAAAACAAAATTATTTTCCATTTTTTTAGACCATTTTGACCATGACATAAAAATCTGAAAAAAATCTATAATCTCTGAAATATTCCTCAAAGATCGGCATTGGTTCATATTTCTCTGTTGTAGTTTTTGAAAAAAATTAATTTGACAAATAATAATAACCTCTGCAGGTTACCTCAAAAGTAGTTTGAGAACCGGCGCTAAAAGCGGTGTATGATGTTTAGATTGTATGCTAATATCAAAACTTATATTATTTTACACATTAGTCATGGGGGCCAACAAAAGCGGCAGTTACAATTATGTTTTAATTCAAGCGCAGGTGGTCATCAAACGAGTTAAATAAAAAACAATATTTTACTAAAAAAATAGAAACAAAATAATATAGCTACATCCAGTATGTACAATCACATATCTATAAAAACCTTGTCTAAATTCTAAAATAAATATTAATATTAATAAACAAAAAATAATAAATATTAAACAGTGCACAACACATGCATAAAAGAACTTACAGAAACCTAAAGACCAAATTTGTCTGATTTACTTTTCACATATTAGATAATAAAACATTTGGTTCCTTCAACAAATAAACAACACAAATTACTAAGTCAGATCAGGTGGTGAATAGATTATTTTAATTATGCAAATATTACATCAATTGCTGTCGTTCTCTTCACATAAAAACATTTTTTCGTCTCGGCAAACAGGTTTTGCTGAAACAAGGGTAGAAACATACTTGATGGTGCAGATCTTTAACCGATCCCAAACAGATTGTGGAACTGATGATACCGATGCATAAAACAATTTACATGTTTCAAAATAACATAAATCTTATAATCATTGCTCATTTTATTTTATGTTATTAGATATACAGGACAAGAGGGTCCGTCTAATTCTTGACATTGCCGTCGTGTCCAGGAGGCAGCATGACCAACTTTGTCAGATCTAATAAACCATGCCTTAAAAAGAGACAGACTTTTATTAAACTGTTATAATAGAGTAATAAAAGTATTATATACAATAAATAATAACTTAACTAACAATAATTTGTTAGATCTGAAGGCATTAATTGCAGTGCCCCATGGATCCTGATGCCTTACAAATGTCAAAATTTGACTGCAAGGATCAACCCTTACATTAACTATCTGATCAATAAAATCAATGTTTTATGTTATGTACCTATACTATGATGCATGCCTCTCGTGTGCAGACAATTATACCAGCTGTACTTTTGAGAACTAATAAATTCAAAACCGATCTATATCTGGTGATCCTGCTGAATAATGGTCTTAAGGGTTTACTATATTTTGCGGGTGTAATTCAATGTTAAACGGAGTATGTAGCCCACAAATTAGATATTTCCCATAATATCATTAGGTTAAAACTTTATTTTGTCGAGTGCAAGACTACTCATGCTTTTACAATATGTACAGATCTGTAGGTCACTTTCTACTTATACACACTAGGTATAAAGCAATGTTTTATGCTGGTAGGCATTGGGTAACGATGACATTTAGGATATGACATACCCCCATTCAAAACATGGGTATAGATCAATATTCAAATAGATAAATTTTTGTCAGACCTCTCACCTATATAATCTGTTTTGTTTTCATTAGAGTTTTGATAGGTTAAGTGCTGTCCATATTACTATATTATATTATTTGTCTAATATTACAATATACCCCCCACCCCCTAATTTCAAACCTGTAGTTGAGCATCAGTAGAAAATGTCACCACATGTGGTGTTGCGACCCTGTTAAGAACAACCCTAAAATAATAAACTGATAAATTTCATCTTTTTTTATTGTTAAAAGAATTTTTTATTTTTCAGAAAGTCCCGATGGTGTATACAAAGTTGATAAAGTTGATGAAGACTTTATTCTGCAAGCACAAGTAAAGAATTTGAATGAACCTGCATATGAAGCGAAACTGTTTGTTGTTCACCCAAGCGCGCTGAGTTATATTGCACTAAAAACTGAAAAGAATGATCTTGTATGTATTTAAATAAATTTAGTTACTATTTGTAACTGTTAATATTTTTAGGTCAATGTAAAATGTTCAGTTACAAACGAAACATTAGTTGCGTGTGATCTTGGGAATCCATTTCATGGTAAACAATCCATACTACTTAATTTGAGATTCGAGGTGATAAAAACTACAAAAGAACAAAAATTGGATCTTAGGGTTTTTGTAAATTCCACTTCTAGAGAGCTCTCAAAAACAACCTCACAAACACTTGTGGCTATTTTACAAAAAATTGCAGAATTTCACATTAGCGGGTAAGTTTATTTTTAATTAGTTTAACATTTTATTATCCTACCATTATATTATCATAAAAGAGCGCAAACGCTATTTAGTGTGTACCTATATTTTTTCAATGTTTTTTTAATTATCATGAGAAACCCTTGGAAAATGGATTAAAATATTGTGGATAGTGCTATTTTGTAAGGTTAGTATACCGTGAAATATCGATACAATTATCTTTGTTAATGGTCATTTTAAACTTATTGTGCAATAACTGATCGTGTGTTAATCACTCCCTGATTATTGTTTCTGAATAGCATAATTTTATTAATCACTAATTGACCCGACAGATGTTTACTGTCCAAATTTCAATAAATTTGTTTGTGATAAGCACTTTAAGTTTTTCTTGAATTTTTCAATTTCCTGGACTAGGTACTTTTCCAATTTTTCTTTTCCTAAAAACCTTATTCGTATTATTACGAACATTTAAAAAAAACTAACAGCATTTAATATTTATTTACATAGGAGAAAAACAAGGACATTTAAATAAAGGGGACTATGCATGTCACAGTCTATCTCATATGTTGGGTGAAGCTAGACAAGGGGAAAGCAGAGGGCTTTATTTTCATCCAGCTGATGCGCGTGATTACATCTCCAATGTCGTACATTTTAATAAATAAAATAAAATATTTTATAGTCCTAAGTCAATATATTTCAACAGCTACTCAGTATTTTTATAATAAATATATATAATATTTTTATAACTTCTTGGAATCCCAATAACTGTAACCATTTCTTTCTTGTTGCACCATCCCCAAGCATCCTAAAAACGTTCACATTTCACTTTTAGAATACTGAGGCAAATTTTCAGTGAGACATAAAAATATATTCCCAAAGGAGAACATCAAATGGTTGAATGAATGCAACTTTCAGTTGATTGCATCTTCGGTATTTTTATGTATAAGTGAACCACCACCATATTTTTGCTGTTGTATTTATTCAGTTTTTATGCTCGTGCATTTAGTAAAATTGTAAATATATTTTTGAAAAGGTTTTTGTCGTAGAGGAAAATGAAAATGATGAATGATTAAAATTTGTAATGTTGGGTATAAGGGATAACATTGAAATACCTATAAATATATTAAATATAAATAATGTCTGTAACTTATTTGTGGTGCAGCATTTTCCTTTGATTTTAATGGCCAAACGTGGTTCATATTATTGTTTTCTTACTATTTCAGCAAAAATTTTAAAAAAATACCAAGTCAGTTTTATAAAATTTTACCGTTATTCAAATAAAAGTTACCCACACGCACGACAATGGCCACAGTTGCATATACATTCCAAAGTCACCTTCAAGCACGCTTACCTGTGGAAGGATAGCTGATGTGGATGTTTATAATCCAATTTCTTACAAATTCTGCACTGTCTAACCATATTCACACCTTAAAAGTTTATCCAAAATACATGTATAAACACTAATCACGTTTCACTTACTAAAATCACAACTATTTTCTAACAAGAGACGCCATATTCTGCCAACCACGGCAGAACGAACGAGGAACACGCTACAAATTATTGCGTAGTTGCCAAGTCTTCAAACATGGCAAATATGAAAAATGAAAAATAGTTTAATATGTACAGAATTTAACAA